TGAAGGTGGTGGCGGTGGTGGTGGTGGTGGAGGTGATGGTGGTGTCAAGGTGGTGGTGGTGGTAGTGAATGTGGTGGAGGTGGTAGTGGTAGTGAAGGTGGTGGTGAAGGAGGTGGTGGTGGTAGTGAAGGTGGTGGTGGTGAAGGTGGTGGTGGTAGTGAAGGTGGTGGTGGTGAAGGTGGTGGTGGTGGTAGTAAAGGTGGAGGTGGTGGTGGTCAAGGTGGTGGTGGTGGTGGTGGTGAAGGTGGTGGTCAAGGTGGTGGAGGTGGAGGAGGTGGTGGTGGTAGTGAAGGTGGAGGTGGTCAAGATGGTGGTCAAGGTGGTGGTAGTGAAGGAGGTGGTGGTGAAGGTGGTGGTGGTAGTGAAGGTGGTGGTGGTCAAGGTGGTGGTGGTGAAGGTGGTGGTCAAGGTGGTGGAGGAGGTGGTGGTGGTAGTGAAGGTGGTGGTGGTCAAGGTGGTGGTCAAGGTGGTGGTGGTAGTCAGGTAGTGAAGGTGGTGGAGGAGGTGGAGGTGGTAGTGAAGGTGGTCAAGGTGGTGGTAGTGATGGTGGTGGTGAAGGCCGTTAAATGAGAAACATTTCCCGCGCTTTTGGCCACTTGGGGCGCTTTTAGAAAAACGTAGCGCGGATAGGCGATCGCGTGTTTGGCGAGGGTCAGATTTCGTACAGCTGATAAGCAACGCCTATAGACTTGTTGTGTTCGATTTCACTCAGACAACTTCTGTCTTTCTTCGAACGCCGCTTTATTGACAACTCTCAGCACGTCCTCCACATTCCACAGTATCCTGTGTTGTATATATAGGTGTTATGAAAATTGATGAAAATAATGAAACTTAAATTAAATTTGATATTTGCATAATTTATCCTAAATTATGTTAATCAGTGTAATTACGCGCATAAATTATGCTGATTCGAGAGATAATCGTATTAATTTATGCGAGTCGGCGTGGTTAGGATAATGCAGGTCGTTATGGATTATCAGGTCGAGCCTCGGTGACTAGGATTGTGTTATGAATTGGAATGACGCAATTAATCGTATGCAGTGACGCAGGCGTTGTGAACGTGAATGAGAGAGAGTCGATTCGACTCTGCTCTTTAATTCCGTATTATCGATAAGGATACGATTACTCTCGATTGAACATTACGAATTATGTGTGTTATGGATTATGTGTGGTGATAGTGTGCTTATGATAGGTCCCCAGGATTCAGATCTCATACGCAGAACAATATTATGCAGAATTTCAGGAAGAATCACACACACCTTCTGCTTTGATCAATTTTATTTTCTAGCTAGACTTTAATTTTTGGATAATATGAAAACTCAATCTCGGGATTTTGGAATTTCAACACAGCGTTAACATGATACCATCACGATTGCGTTGTTTCACCTCGATAGCGGCACCTGTGGTTAATTCACCGACGCGTAACACAATCAATCGGTTGTTGAGAGAGAGATTAAAAAACATGCGAACTATTCTATCAAAACCTTAACCTTATAATGTAAATTCGTATTTAAACATTGCCCACACAGTACCACATCCATTCATAGACCTTCAAGTCAATTCTTATCACGTTTTTAACAGTAGGACGATTGGTTATTATGCAACTCAATGACAGCAGTATTTTTCGTTATGAATTGATTTTTAATGCACCACCTTGAGTGCCACCCTTCTTGATTATCCCGATATGCGTATCGTGTGTCTTCTTTATGACTGGTTCAATTCCTTGCGTTAAAGCAGACGCCGAGGTTAGCATCTCTTGTGTCCAAAATGTGTTTCCTGTGTGTTGCGGGGCGGTGGGGGAGTGAGGGGGGAGAGTGTGGAGGAGGGGTTGCATACGGACCGGCTGCCAGCTTCTGTCCACCGCTGGCTGGATGAGTCAGCACGACGCTCGCCGTCGTCGTGCCGATGGGTGTTGAGTGCGGGGCCGCTTCCCTCTCAGCCCTGGTGACGCGAAGTTGCGCGCTGTAGCACGCTGGTGGCACGCTGTTGGCACGCGCTGGTGCGGTGCTGGTGGCACGCTGGTGGCACGCTGTTGGCACGCGCTGGTGCTGATGCTGGTGCTGATGGCACGCTGGTGGCGCGCGCTCCCTCTCCTTGAAGATGCGCGAACGCGCCCATGCTGGTTCGCTGATAGCAGTTTCTCTCCACTGCTGGCAGAGTTTGCTGCACCGCTCTTGCTTGGCGTTGCCTGAACCGCGCTCTTTCTCCTTGAAGATGCGCGAACGCGCCCGTGCTGATTCGCTGACAGCAGTTTCCTCCACTGCTGGATGAACTGCGCCGGTGCGCGCTCTTTCTCCGCTGCTGTAGTATCTGACGCTGCGCTCGCGGGCGACAGGTCAAGTTTTTCTTCTGCTGAGTGAGCCAAGTCGCACGTGCTCTCTTTGTTGAGGTTGTTGGCTCTCTGACAGCAGGTTTCCTCCACTGCTGTATGACTCAAGTTTGTTGATACATCGCGACTCAGCGATCCTCACTACTCAGCGAGGCTCGGAGCCAGCCGCACCATGCGACTGCTCGTCCTGTGGACGTCTTGACTCGCTGATCTGTCTTGACTCTTGACTTAACTTCACTGACTTTTGAAAATGCGGCTTGACCCGTTATATTCAAAGACAATTCTCTCTGCGCAGTGGAAAAGGGGGGGGGCGGGATCTGTGTGTGTGAGTTCGTGTGTGTGTACAGATGGCTCCTGCGATAACGATCTGTTTGCCCTGGCGTGAAATTCCTCTCTCGCGCTCTTCGGGAGAGACAAAGGTGGTCGGGAGTACCTATCTCTTTATACTTTCGACTTTATATTTCTCAAATACCATTTGGTCCCATGTTCGCCAAGACTCGTGTTTGTAACTTCGTCCTCCCGACACCCCTCTCGGGTTACCGAGGTTCGCATTGATATGATGGAGTTATTAGAAAGAAAAATAATTTCATCCTGAGTTTAAGAGATCCATTTCCAGATTGTTGGAATCCATATCCCTTGGTTCTGTAAGGTTCTATAATGGAATATCGTTTAAGGTTAACACGTTATTATTAATATTATATTGCAATTTTCTTTAAAACTTTGTTTGCCTGGTTGCCGTGTGCGGGGTGGGGTGTGTCTCCTCATCAAACCCGGCTGGCTTTTCCAGATGGCCCCTTGTGATAAGGTGTAATTCCTACTTCTCCGCGCTGTGAGAGAGACAAAGGTGGTCGGGGTTGCTTGGGATATTGTTTAAACTCTTTCATAAGTTTGCCCGTTCGCCTCATTCCTTCTCGATAACCTTTGATGTGACTCGGTATTTTGTCTCCAAGCTTTGTTTTAACAGCCATTGAACCATCCGTGATTGTGGAAACATCGCCACGACCGAGTGAATAATCCATCGTTTTTAAGAGTGTTCATAATTTTCCTCTGTAATATTGCGCTGGGGCTGTACTTCTAACCGCATAAATTACCAACTGACCCATTAACAAGGATTAATTCTTGACACCTCACCACGGAGCGCCGCTCGCGGGGATAGAGACCGTGTTCAACCGGTTCCCTGTCAGGGGTCTGGCCACAATTAATTAAAAGATTGGCCCGAGATAAGGATCTCAAAAGGAAACATCGCCACCCATTGAGTCGCGTTGAGAAGTTGATTAGAAATACTGAGTCGTTCGTTAATATTTGTCCTTTCTGCATAATCTTGCCGGTATCCACGAATGAAATAACGAATTCAAACGCATATTTGTGCCTCCAAGAATAATACTGGTTGGAAGTGCCCTGTCAACGAGTAGCGTTGCATAAATAATCAGTCATCCTATTGTTAACAACGTGACAATAATTGCATTAAGGGCCGCGCATGATCAATGACCCGAATGCTGTGTTGTGTGACAATTCAGTAACGAAGCTTGTGGCCATCGAGTGGTGTTGATAAGGCAATTCGAAGTATTTCAGTCGAACGCTTTAAATTCATAATCGTTATGAATCAATGAACGAACATCAACGTGTACTGTGCTGACGATTTCAAGCATAATAACTTCGCATATCAGAATGTATTAAGGATTGGATACGAATCAAAGACGCAAGTGCCGTGTTGTGTAACAATTCAAGCATAAGAGTTTGCATATTATAAAGTTAAGGTTTGATAGAATAGTTCGCAATGTTTTTAATCTCTCTCTCAACAACCGATCGATTGCGTTACGCGTCGGGAATTAACCACAGGTGCCGCTATCGAGGTGAAACAACGCAATCGTGATGGTATCATGTTAACGCTGTGTTGAAATTCCAAAATCCCGAGATTGAGTTTTTCATATTATCCAAAAATTAAAGTTAGCTAGAAATAAATTGATTAAAGCAGAAGGTTTGTGTGTGATTCTTCCTGAAATTCTGCATAATATTGTTCTGCGTATGAGATCTGAATCCTGGGGACCTATCATAAGCAGACTATCACCACACATAATCCATAACACGCATAATTCGTAATGTTCAATCGAGAGTAATTGTATCCTTATCGATAATACGGAATTAAAGAGCAGAGTCGAATCGACTCTCTCTCATTCACGATCACAACGCCTGCGTCACTGCATACGACTAATTGCGTCATTCCAATTCATAACACAATCCTAGTCACCGAGGCTCGACCTGATAATCCATAATGACCTGCATTATCCTAACCACGCCCACTCGCATAAATTAATACGATTATCTCTCGAATCAGCATAATGTATGCACATAATTACACTAATTAACATAATTTCGGATAAATTATGCAAATCTCAAATTTCATTTAATTTTCATTATTTTCATCAATTTTCATAACACCTATATATACAACAGTCCGTCCGTCCGTCGTGATCTAAAAATGGGAGGGGTGGGGCTGGGTGGAGAGGGGAGGGTGGGGAGGGGTGGGAGGGCTGGGTGGGGAGGGTGGGGAGGGGAGGGTGGTGGAGGGGCTGGGTGGGGAGGGGCTGGGTGGGGAGGGGGAGGTGTGGGGAGGGGCTGGGTGAGGGGTGGGAGGGGTGGGGCTGGGTTGGGGAGGGGAGGGGCTGGTCACCCCATGGTGCCCTTATTAAACTCAACGTGTAACCTACTCATGCCGGCTAGTGCCCAGCCCTCACAGTCCGGGCATATTTGCGGAATACACCACGTGGTGGTGCGTTGACCCTGGCCATTGACCGAGCAACCCAACGTTTCCTACCAGCTCCCTCCGCAAGAGAATGTGTTTGTTCATAAACCCACTGGACTATTTGGTGACCAGGTGGACGGCGGAACAATTTCATTCTAGGAATAGATTGCGTCGAGTCAAATTGCATTCTGAGTGTGTGGCGTGTGCCAAGTGCATTCATTGCATGTGCGATGAAGACTTGTCACACTTATCTTGAGATGGTTTCTTTACTGTAGAGACGCGTTCACTCAAACAGGCGGAGACCTCCACTGCAACAGCCCCGATTCTCCCACGCATCTCCCCAATTCCCGAACGGTCTCGCTTGTTCCAGAGGCTCGCTCCACCGGCAGATTCTACCGTCGTTACCTCGTTCCCGTAGCCCACCAGTCGAACGACATCAACATCTTTAACAACAAAATCAACATCATCAACATCATCAAAATCAACATCATCAACGACAACATCATAAACATCAACAACAAAATCAACAACAACAACGCCACAGCCACGACTGCTCCTACTACCGCTGCTACTGCGGCCGCTGCGACAGACGCCACTGCTGCCACAGCTGCCACTGCTGCCACAGCTGCCACTGCTGCCACAGCTGCCGCTGCCGCTGACGCCGCTGCTGCTCGAGGAATCTTTGTGACAGGAAGTGCTCCCTGTCCCAGCCGTCATTCTTGTAGCTGGCGTGGAGCTTGCGGTGAGCCCAGAGAGCGGTGAGCAAAGCCCTCGCTGCAAATACATCCTGGCTCCATGCCGTCCTGACGCAGCACACACACACACACACAGATGCACAAAGGTAAAGACAAAGATCCCCCGTGTAGCCTTAACAGACTGTAGGGGCGAGTGCTGTTAGCGAGCACCTATGAAGGCCGGCACAGTACACGAGGGGGTGGGTGGCCAGCACCACGCCCGGTCGCCTTTGTTTCCCCAGTGGCGATGTTTACACACAGCACCAGGTACTCATTTGAGGCTGAGTTGACCTAGGGGAGGCCCAGGACCGGGACCGGTTCAAATAATCGTCACCGGTGTTGGCCGTGAGTGGGAATCGAGTCGCCGGGTTCGTAGCGCAGCGTAGCGCTAACCACTACACTACCGCTCCCAAGACACACACACAGACACACACACATACACACACACATACACACAGACACACATACAGATACACACAGACACACACATACAGACACACAGACACACACACATACACACACATACACACACAGACACACACACAGATATACACACACAGATACACACAGACACACACAGATACACACAGACACACAGACACACACAGACACACACAGACAGACCAAAGATCAAAGATCCCCCATATAGCCTTAACAGACTGTAGGGGCAAGTGCTGTTAGCGAGCACCTATGAAGGCCGGTAACGGTACACGAGGGGGTGGGTGGCCAGCACCACGCCCGACCGCCTTTGTCTCCCTAGTGGCAATGTTTACACACTGCACCAGGTACTCATTTGAGGCTGAGTCGACCTAGGGAGGCCCGGGACCGGTTAAGATAATCGTCACTGGTGTTGGCCGTGAGCGGGAAACGAATCCGTGTCGCCGGGTTCATAGCGCAGCGCGCTAACCGCTACACCAGGGGTCGGGAACCTTTTTGACTAAGAGAGCCATGAAAGCAAAAATTTTGGAAATTTATTCAGTGAGAGCCATATAATATATTTTAAAAGTGAATTCAACTAAATGTCATTATAATAAGCCTCTGATTTATTCTTTTAAATAATGTTGTTATAACACTCACCATTAATGCGACTTCTGGTGCTGCATGGATTGCTGATGTCTTTGTAGTCGGTTGGTACTTGGTGAGGTAAGCTTCATGCAAGCGTTGAGGCTTTCATCCGTTAAACGTGATCGTAGGTTGGACTTGATGTTTTTAAGATGTGAGAATGACTGCTCACATGCATACGTAGATCCAAACATGGTCAATACAGCAATACTCACAACAGCTGCAGTGTGTGGTATGTGACAGGAAGCGCGTTCCAAGTTTTGAGAATCAGCTGGTCTTCGGTTGGAGTTTTTCATTTCTGTCCACATGTGCTTGCTCGCCAACTCCGCTTTCTGTCGTGTGATTCTTTCCAAATCTTCATTCAGTGACTTGAACTTATTCACCCACATGTCTGAGGCCTTCAGGTCAGCCACTTCTGCTTCAAAATCTCTGACAGAGACACCAGGGATGTAATTCAGGTCGGCTGTGTTCAGTGAACACTCGTTTGGATGGGTGATGAACTTAAAAAGACGAGTGTGCTCACGAAATTCTCCAAAGCGTGCTTTGAAGGACTGTAGGAGACTGGATGTGCAGCCAGCTAGCTGGTGGAGATCAAGGTTTTGAATGGCTCACTTGCTGTGCATGCATCTTTAAATTGGCTCAGTTTTTCAAAATGTAGTAAACGACCTGTTTCAAGATCCGTGATGAAAAGCTCCAGCTTGTTTTCAAAAGCAAATACAGCTTGTTGAAGGGATAACACTGTATTTCCAATGCCTTGCATTTTCACGTTGAGCTGGTTCAGATGTTCAGTCAGATCTACGAGATAGTAAAACTTGAGGAGCCACTCGGTGTCGGCTAGCTCAGGATGCCCGACGCCTTTCATTTCAAGGAAAGTCCGGATTTCGTTCAGGCAAGCCGCAAAACGGCTAAGCACCTTCCCTCTTGACAACCAACGCACATTGCTGTGCAAAAGCAGACCAGGATAGTTATTTACAACTTCATCCAGCAGTGTTTTAAACTGGCGATCATTTAAGGCTCGGGCAACAATAAAGTTGATCACACGAATGACCAGCGACATCACTTCGCCAAACTGCCTGTCACACATCTGAGCACAAAGTGCCTCCTGGTGTATAATGCAATGGAAACTTAGGATGGGTCTATTTTCATGTTCACGGAGAAGCGCCACAAATGCTTTGTTTTTTCCCCACCATACACGGAGCACCATCAGTACACACTGAGAGAAGTTTATCCATAGGTAGACTTTTTTCTTGAGCAAACTCCATGAAAGACTTGAATAAATCCTCACCTCTTGTGGACCCTTTTAATGGCAGAACAGCAAGACTTTCTTCGCGCAGTGTGTCACCAACAGCATATCTTGCAATCACGCTGAACTGCGACAAATGGCTCACGTCTGTTGACTCATCCAAAGCCAGAGAAAAGAACGGCGCTGCATTTATGTCCTTCACTTGCGTTTCCTCCACTTTGTTTGCCATCACGATGGTACGATCATGAACAGTTCTTGCCGACAGAGGCATGTCTTGTATCCGTTTGATTATCTTGTCTTTGTTTGGAAGATCATCAAAAAGTTCATTGGCTACATCCAGCATGAACGTTTTAGCATACTCGCCATCTGTGAATGGTTTTCCGTTCCTCACTATTGCTAAAGAACCAGCAAAGCTAGCCGAATTATAGTCACCTTGCCGGGTCCATACGCGGAGTTGCTGCTGGCTAGCTTGCACCCTGCTCAGCTCTTGGCACGCTTTCTTTCTGCTGTCTCCCGCAGGGTATTTTGATGCAAAGGTAGCGTGGCGCGTGTCGAAGTGCCGCTTTACATTCGACCGTTTCAACGATGTAATTTTGTCATTGCAAATTAGACACACCGCAGAACCCGCTCTCTCCACAAAGGCGAATTCTTCGTCCATTCGTCCTGAAATGTACGATACTCGTCGTCTTTTTTTCTTTTCGCCATCTTCTTCGTCGAAGGGTTAGCTTTGAGCTAATGACCGAGCAGACGCAGTCTCAGACTGATTCAAAAGGGGGCGTTTACCTGTTTTACCCAGCAACGGCAAATGTAGGCCAGTATCATCCAATTAAAATAATGGACAATTGCTCCTGCAGCCCTGAACAGGACACGCGCAGTGAAAAATCGATGGATGGATTAAAACAAGTGAGAATATTTTGTTTTATCTGCGAGCCATATGCAATCATCAAAAGAGCCACATCTGGCTCGCGAGCCATAGGTTCCCGACCCCTGCGCTACACTATCGCTCCCCCCACACACAGACAGACAGACACACACAGACACACAGATACACAGATACACACAGACACACACAGACACACACAGATACACACAGACACACACAGATACACAGACACACACAGACACACACAGATACACACAGACACACACAGATACACACAGACACACACAGATACACACAGACACACACAGATACACACAGACACACACATACACACACATACACACACAGACACACACACAGATATACACACACAGATACACACAGACACACACAGATACACACAGACAGACAGACACACACAGACACACAGATACACAGATACACACAGACACACACAGATACACACAGACACACACAGATACACACAGACACACACAGACACACACAGATACACACAGACACACACAGATACACACAGACACACACAGATACACACAGACACACACACATACACACACATACACACACAGACACACACACAGATATACACACACAGATACACACAGACACGACACACACAGATACACACAGACACACAGACACACACAGACACACACAGACAGACCAAAGATCAAAGATCCCCCATATAGCCTTAACAGACTGTAGGGGCAAGTGCTGTTAGCGAGCACCTATGAAGGCCGGTAACGGTACACGAGGGGGTGGGTGGCCAGCACCACGCCCGACCGCCTTTGTCTCCCTAGTGGCAATGTTTACACACTGCACCAGGTACTCATTTGAGGCTGAGTCGACCTAGGGGAGGCCCGGGACCGGTTAAGATAATCGTCACTGGTGTTGGCCGTGAGCGGGAAACGAATCCGTGTCGCCGGGTTCATAGCGCAGCGCGCTAACCGCTACACTATCGCTCCCCCCACACACACAGACAGACAGACA